TACTGATGAAGAGTTCCATAGTAGGACGAAACAGCTGTCCAGTACTCCCAGTTGGTTTTCCAATGGTTCTCTAACTACTGTCAGCTCATGATAAAATCCTGAAACCAATCAAATCCCTACAAACCAACACTTGAATATAGTAATTCAACCGATGGCTGTTTTGGAACACTGCAGGCAGGATAAGAGAGATAAACGATTCACAAAAACAGCTCATCTGTAGTCATCTCGGTGAATACATGTACAGAAACTAGTCTAACTTAGCAACTGATACTCGTTGATATAGCCCTAACCCTAACCTGATTAGTGCGTTTTCAAGCATTTTCCTGTCAATATACTTCATTTTTATGCAAAAATTCCTCATTTTTATGATTAGTCAGCTGAAGGTCACTCGTGCAGTTGCACTCCTGTGACGCTATTGTTGTCATTTTTCTCTTGTAAGTTTTCGAATTTGTGTGACACTACACATAAATCATTCACGGAATTCATAAAGTCTTCTTAACTGTCTAACTTATTCTTATTTTCTCTGTTCCCACACACGGTGTGAGGCATAATCTAGTAGGCCACTATAAGGAATATCATCGGTGATAGCAGGCAGCCTTCCTCGCCTAACTTTCCTGTTTTGACTTCAGACGCTTCGCTGAGTTTTCTGTTGTGGATCATTTGACATTTAGCATTGTTATATAGCTGTTGGCGTCAGTGACACGGCGGTTAGGATGCTCCCCGACCATGCACATGGTCCGGGGTTCGATCCCTGGCCACGGACGCACTCCTTTACCTGGCTGTGCCAGGAATAATGCTGTTAAAGGGGAAATGTTGGGCATGAGGCTAGCAACCCCATCCTGTAAAACATTAAACACTGCTACAGAAACTTCAAGCCACTAGCTTGAAGCCGCCCTATGTTCCATTGGGAACGTGAAGAAAAAAACAATTTAGCTGTTGACTGAGGTTGATAAAGATTTCAGGTACTCTTTGGTGTTGAAATAGTCTCCAAATTATTTCATGATCAAGACTGTCTACATAGTAGTGAATTATTTGTATTCTTGAATGTTGTGACAGTAAGGTATTACCAAAGTAGCACGAAGAAAAGCAAATTATCCGTTGGAGAGAGGACAAAAGTCTAAAAAAACTGAAATGAAACCTAAATTGCATGTATATTTGATAAAAAAACTTTTGGCAATGTCAGTGAAAATGTAACAGATGGCAAAAAGGTTAGGACCTTCATCGACCATGCTCATAGTCCGGGGTTTGATCTCCGCCCAACGTACACCTGATATCAATGGTCTGCCTGCTAAATTTGGGCTACAAATATCACATGCTGAAAATTCCATAGCTGTATCAAAATACTGTGTGGAATCAGGCTATAGCAAAATAAAATTAGTAAACCAAAGGGAAATGTTTTGTGGACCATTAAAACCTATAATTCTTGTGACAGTCCTATTTATTCAGGTAATAAATTATATAAAACTACTTCGCCTTAACTCCATACATTTACAGTCGAAGTGCTACTATGAGCCATAGCGAAACACCGTGAGACGATGACCACGCTTCAGATATCGCCGTTGTATTGCTCAACATACAGACAGCACGTTTCACCTTGGCCAAATCACCACCAGGAACAACCGTAGGCGGCTGATAATTGATGCCCACCTTGATACCTGTAGGGCACCAATCCACAAATTGAATACACTTCCGGGTCTTGACACTCGCTATCGCTGAATTCACATCCTTTGGAACAACGTCACCACGATACAACAAGCAACACGCCATATACTTCCCATTCCGTGGATCACACTTCACCATCTGATTCACTGGCTCAAAGCACGAGTTCGTGATTTCAGATACACTCAGCTGCTCGTGGAATGCCTTCTCAGCTGAGATGATCGGTGCATATGTCGTCAACGGGAAATGAATACGAGGATAAGGTACAAGGTTCGTCTGGAACTCGTTCAAATCCACATTCAATGCGCCACTGAATCGAAGTGAAGCTGTTATCGAGCTCACAACTTGGCCAGTCAGACGATTCAAGTTCGTGTATGATTGTCGATCAATGGTCAGATTTCGACGGCATATCTCGTAAATCGCCTCGTTGTCCACCATGAAAGCACAATCTGAGTGCTCCAACGTCGTATGAGTTGTCAGGACTGAGTTATACGGCTCAACAACAGCTGTAGAGATGTGTGGAGCGGGATATACTGCGAACTCCAGTTTCGCCTTCTTCGCAAAATCCACCGACAGCCGTTCCATCAGTAACGATGTGAAACCTGAACCAGTACCACCTCCAAACGAATGGAATATAAGAAAGCCTTGAAGACCAGTGCATCTCTCCGACAGCTTCCGTATCCGATCCAACACTTCGTCCACCAGCTCCTTGCCCACCGTGTAGTGGCCAAGCGCATAGTTATTCGCCGCATCCTCCCTACCAGTAATCATCTGCTCCGGGTGGAACTGCGAACAAGCTCAATTCGTGAAAAATCAAATCACTTACACCGCCGCTTTCATCCCACATTCCTAAGTATTCCCAGAGGAACACAGGGCGTTAGGCTTGAACTTTGAAGTCTCAGTAGCAGTAATGATTCTTGTTTACGGAGAGGGGTTACTAGTCTCATGCTCAACCTTCCCGCTTTATAGGGCTTACAACCGACTATAGGAGGTAAAGGTGTGCACCGGCCAGGAATTGAACCTTGGAGATCACGTGATACGTGGTTAGCTAGTATTCTACAGCTGAACAAACGATGCACACTAACCATTCCCACAGTTAAAGGTAATCTTTTTTTCAATAGAAATCACTGTCACTAAGTAAAATTACACACTGTATTTAGAAGTTTTCAGTATTCACAATAACGACTTATGAAACTATGCCTAGTGAAAGTGACGCCGTAGTCCTAATGTGAAACTCATAGTCTTCTACTCATGGAGAATGATGAACGATGTTGTCAACGTATGACGAATCATAAGAAGTAGGGAGAAAATGAGTCGAATTTACAACATAGAAGGTAAAACCTTGACAGTGGGCTAGCGTCATGTAATTGGAAGATTAATTCCACTGAATTCAAATGATTTTTCTGATAGTTACAAATTACGAGTATAAAGATCCAAAGCAAAGACTTCTTAGGCTATAAATTTATTTTACTTATGTTTAGTGGGCTTATTTTAGTATGCCTGAATAGGTATTTTATCTGAACCAAGATTTTAACATTATGGCTGTATAAATTCACTGCGTCTTTATGTGTTGATTTAAGACGCATAATCCGTATAATTCCTGATTATTGCAGTAGTGTGGTGGCATGACTGGCAGCAAAGTTTCTTAGCCTAGCCTTCACTACGCTAGAACAACAGCTATCCATTGAGATGTTTAGGACATGTCTTAGACATGTCTAACCATCTCCTTCCTCGACGCGCAGTGTCAGCTGACACAAGATCAGGTATGGAAAATTGATAGTAATGGTCAGACCAAAGCATGGCATCAATCAGTGAAATCCATAACAGTTAGTTTAAGCCAGTCAGCCACGTAAGGGGGTGTATATTACCTGACTGGTTGGGATCCTCGGGATGGTAGGAACCAATGACGGCTAGAGACAATTGGTAAAATAATTCATAATCATTCCCAGTGGATGGTACAGATGCATTTATTCTTTTGTGGTTTGTCGTATCCAATAAAACTCTATTGTTCTCCCATATTACTATTGCTTTTCCCTCACTCAAACTTCTGCACATCTATGCAAAAATGTATGTTGAAACCAGTCAATCAAAACAGCAGTTCAGAGGCAACTGTTTCGAAGTCTGCGATGTACATCCTGATTCGACCTTTCATCACCAGTTATTATAGTGGTGGATTTATTCAAGTGTCCATTCCCTGAGTTATTAATATTTGTCCTTTTGATGGTAAAGTTGTTTTCCTCATACAAAGAAAGTTATAAAACTCAATGACAACTCTAGAAATTTATGATGGAATCCAAATGAATTCACTTATTTAGGCAGTAGTATTGTAACAACAGAAGACAAGGGGGGGGCGACAGATCATTTATTAAGGAAATCACATATTTATAGATTTTTATGTACATATTATAGATTATTGTTAGCAGAAAAACACAGTCTTCTGACTGGTTGTTTCTCACAGAAAGTTAATCTTGCATCTCTTGCGACTGTTTCTTGAATGTCAGATCATCTATATGCTAATTGTATCCGCCTACGCAAAGTGTGCTGTCGTTGGTTGTTGAATCAGTCTTTGTTCTTATTTTTCTCACGACCAATATTTGGGACATAAACATTGACGTAAATCACTGTCTACTAATTATGGCTAGCAGCCAGCTATCACCATAGTATAACTTCAACTACAGGTGATAGAACAGTTGAAGATGTCAAAGCCAGCCAATATCAGAAAACGCAAGACTGACCTCCATTTCTGCGAAATCAGCTTCAAAATCTGATAAACTCTATTAGCCTAAAAGAACAGGATTCAGGTTTTCAGAAACCAATGTTTAAGCCAGTCACTTCTTCTATACTGGGTCAGAATAACATTTCCAAAAGGCTAGTGCAAACTTTCATCAACATTTGCATTCGTTGGTTCCATACTGAAAATTTGAAGGCCAGTCAAAAAAAATGATTAGAAACAAGAACTTCTAGGAGTGAACTAATCGAGAACCTATCGCCTAATAAATATACAGAAGAAAATGGTGATGGAATGAACGTACACTGAGGATACTGCTGAGTGGCATCGCATGCCAGGCGGTCGTTCGGGAAAATCTCGAATGGGAAACGATGAGTTGTCTGTGTGTCCTAGATTGGCATGGAGGAGATCATGTGAGACAGTGTGGTAAGCTTAAGAGGATTGTAGAGGACAAGATGAATTGGTAATTTTCTCCTGAAGCCCTATTTTCCACTCCAAACCCACGGAAATAATTAATTATAATATAAATTCTCTTTTTTCCATTGTTATACTGGTTTCCTTACTGCTCCATACTGATTAATCTTTTATATATTTATTCATTTATTCCCTAAAGGTGTAAATACTTCAGAGGAAAGAAATTAATGGGCGACTGGGAGATAAAAGTGGAACAAGTAAGTAAAGAGTAGTCATTTCAAAATTAATCCAAATTTAATCTGCGTATTTATTCTGCGCATATATATATATATTTTTTTTCAAGTATTGGTTTTTGTAGGGATTTTGTTTGATTGCATGGAGGATTTAATCATGAGCTGACATCAGTTAGAGAACCACTAGAAAACCTGGGAGTACTGGACAGCTGTTTCGTCCTAGTTTGGGACTCCTCAGCAGTACGCACCCACCGGGATTCGAACCCAGGACCTTCTGGTTACAAGGCGAGCTCGTAGACCATTGAGCCACTGGGACCCGATCCAGTGGCCAGCCTATGAATTCTAACTTCTGCCAATTCACGACATAGCGCGACCACTTCGCAATGTCTTCTTCGATGAGTTACTGCCTCATCTTCGACCTACTGTACCCTACTGGTCACGGTTTCCCACTAGAACCCCAGGTTAACTGCCTGAATAGGGCCAGTCACTAGTGAGCATCAGATGAATTTTCAAGTATTGGTTTTGTAGGGATTTTGTTTGATTGCATGGGTCCCAGTGGCTCAATGGTCTACGAGCTCGCCTTGTAACCAGAAGGTCCTGGGTTCGAATCCCGGTGGGTGCGTACTGCTTAAGAGTCCCAAACTAGGACGAAACAGCTGTCCAGTACTCCCAGGTTTTCCAGTGGTTCTCTAACTGATGTCAGCTCATGATTAAATCCTCCATGCAATATATATACGTAGAAAATATTGAATAGATTAAATTAAGCCTAAAACCTGCGTTTTCTGATGAATCACTCTAGCGTAAAAAACGATAACAAAACTCAGAGACATTTTTATATCGTTATTCAATCTACCATAGCTATTAAACTCTTATTGATTCTGTTTTAAGCAGTTTTCATAGCAAAGTATTTCTCGCTAATTTTCAAGGGTTTTGTTTGTAAGGATTTGATTAGCTTTTCGAATTTGACCACGAATCGATATCAGTTAGAGAAGCATTGAAAGCTGGCACTGGAGTACTAGATGGCTGTTTTGTCCAACTAGTAGTTTAAGAATCATCGGCAGTACGCAGCCATCCCGCCACGGTTCAAACCCAGGACCTTCTGGTTACAAGGCAAGTTGGCTTACCGTCGGTGAGAAATTCAACCCTAGTCCCGATTGGATGAACCTCATTGGTCACGACTTCTGACTGGAACTCCAGGAAACTCCGTCCTGTAGCCAGTTACTAGCGAGCATCAGATTATTTCTGGAGAGTTCACTGAAAACCAGGAAGTACTGGTAACAAAAGAAATGTTGACAAATGAATACTGGAATTTATGAATAGTTATGAAAAATTATTCAAATTTTAATCACTCCACAATACTTCTGGTTAGTCAGTTTATCTTGTTTAATCAGACTTCAGTTCTCTCCACAGCAAGGATAAACTTTCAAATGGGAAGTTGTACGAAGTATAATGTCGGAGAATATATAATAATAGTAATAATTTTTAACGATTTGTTTTATTCCAAGACAGTACTTGTAATAAGTGCTCACCAACCACGCATGTGGTTTGAGGCTCGATTCCCCGAAGATGCACTCCTTTGCCTCGCTTGTTAAGCCAGTAATAAGACTGGTAAAGAGGGAAGGTTGGGCATGAGGTAAGCAACTCTATTCCGTAAAAAGAAACATCACTGCTACCAGAACTTCAAGCCCCTAGCTCGAGGCCCTATGTTCCACTAGTAACATAAAAGAATTTTAAAAAAAGCTTTTGATAGTGTGAGATTTTCAGCATTTTGTACAATACTGCTTCTAAATTACTCAACAACAACAACAGAAAAAATGCATTACAAGGTAGAGTTAACCAAAACTGATAACAGCAACGTTTGGTATTAGGAAAAATGTGGGGACAAAATGTACAAATGTAAAATGATAAGAATAATAATGTCAGTGTAACGGTAAAGGACGAAGACTTGCTGAAGGAATGTTTGTTTTGATTTGGCACTAGTAAATAGTGTGTGATGTATCTAGTCATCTCTTTGGTGCAGACTGAATTCTATCATTCAGGTTTGCAATATTGACACCATTCTATGTTTCTCGCCATCACGGTACACACTGATTACAAACCTGTTTGACAGAATTCATTCTGCATCAAAGAGAGGACTAGACACATCACACTGGTTACTAGTGTCAAATCAAAATATTCACCACAATCCTACAGGAGGTCAATCGCGAGCTCGAATAGCTCAGTGGTAATGTCTCTGACTGAAGGTGGCACTCGGTAACGCCGTTTCGAATCTCAGAAGGGACATGAGTTCCTTCGAGGTTGCAGATACGTCTTGGTGACTGGTGAGTGCCAACTAGCACGAAACCTAGATCAGGCGTGGCTTCCCGTGGCCAATTGCCTCCAGCCATCTAAAACCATCAAAAGGAATATTTATTTGGAAATCGGTATTTCTATGTGACCAAATCATTTACACGTTGTCTTCAACGCAGAATTTACACAGATCTTCATGTTGTGGTACCTATAGCTTTCATATTGTGTTTCTTTGTGTTCCTTCTAAATCTTCCATGTATCTCCACATTGCTGTATCATTTGCCTTCTCTGACATCAAATGTATCTCCTTGCTATTTCATGTTTTTTATGCCGATGGACGTCTCTTTATATACTACTGATAAGCCTTATCAGCAGCACACTCCGCATAAGTACTATTATTATTATTCCCTTGGGTTCCTAGTGGAACATAAGGCTTCAACTGCACGTCTCCACTTGCCACTTCTGTCTTCTGCTGTACTTTTCACCTGCACCCGTCTCAGTCCTTACTGTTTCAACTCCACTTTCTCCTGCATGCTTGTTGGTTGGCAACTGGTCCTTGTTTTGTTTGCTCCCAGCCATAGTTTCTTGTTGGTGATTATTTCCGGCCCGGCCATCTGATCTTTAGTATAGATCCAGCGAAGACAGTTTTTGGTTGATAAAGGTCTGCATCGCAATAGGCTGTTGGAAATATTCTTTGTGACCCGCTCGTCAATTTTCTGATCCGTATAGAAGAAATGATTGACTTGACGATGTTGGTATTGAAAATCCGACGGGATTTTGTTGTTGATGCCGAGTGACGAAGATTTCCAGATTGGTTTCAGGTTGATGAATGTGTTTCTCGCCTTTCCGATTCTCGCTCGACTATTTCTATCACATAAGAAGGCAGGAGGGGCAAATGGGGTATCGTTGAGTTTATATAGTCAGTTGTGCGAGTATATAATCCCTTCTTGTCCTACAGATGAGATGTAGCAATAGTTAGGTTTTTATTGTACAGGGTGCTGAGAGTCAGACGATATGGATTTGGACCGTTTCTCACATGAGTTGATAATGGCCTAACTAAGTGGCACACAACTTACCCTTCGCAATATGACATAATCCTTTTAGATGAGTGGCCCAGGAAAGAATAAGGCAGAGCGATAAAGAATAATACATAAGCTGCAAGACTTGGGAAACTGTAAACTTAGAGTTTGAGTGATATCTGTTTGTCTTAACTTCTTAATGTACAGGAGGTTAGACGGAGCATTTTCTTAAAAATCAGCAGGATATGGGATGACTAAGAGATGTCAGCCGATAGAACTATACCTAGGTATTTATTACTTGAGTTATTCCCTACATCAGTGCCCTGTAAGCTACAAGCATCTTGTGAACCAATGAGTTCAATAAAATCACGTTTATTTGTGAAAGTGACATTAACTGTCTGACATTTTGAGGGATTTAACGTACGACTATATCTTAGATAAAAAGAAATAAGATTTAGGAGTAGAGAAAATCCTAAAGTGTCTGCTACAGAAAAGATTTTGTTTTTACGAGTTGATCACGGACTGATATCAGTTAGAGGACCATTGAAAACCAGCCAGGGTGTACTGAATAGCTGTTTCATCCTAGTTCATTAATCACTGGCAGTACGCACCCACCCCATCGGGGTTCGAAACCAGGACGTTCCGCTAACAAGACAAATTGGCTCGTATATCATTCAGCTACTGGAACGCAATTCAATGGCCACTAGCCCATGAATTCTAACTTCTACCAATTCGTGAAGCATTTAGCGCGACCCAACCAATGTCGTTGGTGGGACATCCATCCTCACACGTGACATCTGGATGGACCTCACTGGCCACGACCTCTCACTAGAACTCCAGGAAACTCCATCCTATACCAAGTCACTAGCGAGCATCAGATTAGTTTTCTATAGTTTGGTTTGTAAGGGTTAGTTACGTTTTCACGAGTTGATCATGCATTGATATCAACCTACGACGGTGGTTGCAGTCGCGCTAAGTCACGAATTGGTAGAAGTTAGAATTCTCTGGTTGGCGACCATTGAATTGGGTCCCAGTGGCTTAATGGTATCCCAGCCAGCTTGCCTTGAAACCGGAAGGTCCTGGGTTCTAACCGTGGCTGGGTGGATGCATACTTACGATGATTCCCAAACTGGTTGGATGAAACAGCTGTCCAGTACTCCCTGACTGGTTTTCAATGGTTGTCTAGCTGACATCAATCCATGATCAACTCCTAAAAAAAAAACTAACCCTTACAAACCAATTTATAGAAAAGATTTTGTTAATAATAATGTTGACGAAACTTGATGGAGAAATCAACAAGATTAAGAGAATATCGTTGAATCACGAGTTAATAAAAAAAACAAGATAAAATCAATCAGTCGATATCATTACAAAGAAAATCGACAGCATTCAAGGTCTTGAAAAGCGAAATCATCTAAATGTGTGGTTAGTGATACATCTACCGGTGAAGAAATCTCAGTGACCTTGAAAAACCAATCACAATTTAGGCACAAAAAGTCGAATAATCATTAAACAAAATGTATTAAAAACATTGCAAATATGATACTGCACTGGAAAATTGTCTTTTAGCCTATAAAATTTAACAGAAAAAAAGTACCTACGGAATAAGGAGAATACTCTACGCAACTTCATGAATGAATTTCCCCTTATAGCATGATATGATTCGGAGTGACCTAAAGTAATGCCACCTAAATCTGATTAATTCTGTGAGGTCAA